CCTCTCAACTCGGTGAGGTCCATGTCGAAGTGTGCCAGCTTGGTCGGTTTGGTGACCTCTGCATCGAACATACATTGGTCGAAGGCCGCCTTGAGCACCAGTGCGTGCTTCTCGATGCCGATGCCCCACTTCGTTTTCCAGAAGTCAAGTTTGGATCCATGGTCAGGATTCTCCAGCCAGAACGACCGATGAGCCCTGAGCTGATACTTGACCGCCTCCGCAGACAGCTCGAACATCTGATTTGCTTGAGCGAGCTGCTGTTGCTCGGCCTTTGAGAGCTTCTTACGGCCGAGACCCTCAGGATGAGCCAGGTCCCTCAATGGCTTGGGGCCTGGGGGATTCTCCCTGAGGGGTGACAGCGTCTCGCAAGGCGTGGCAATACCCACGCAGTCGAATACACCATCCTGAACTTCTTTCAGAATGAGCCTGTAATTTTCGGAGTCCAGAACATCGCATGTGGTGGGGCCCACAATGTCGACGACCACCACTATCCATCCTCCTGCGGCAAGATAGCTGGCGATGTCGCCTTCCCTGGACTTGCCGCTGAACAGCAGCAGTGCCCTGGGCCTGTGGTCCCACTGTTCTGGCGGGACGTTTGTCGCCCCGTACCGGTACGGGTGCCAGCTTGGCGGCTTGGGCAGCTGGCTTGGCCCCTGCCGATGCGGTGCGGCCTGCACTGGCCTTCGCTTTCTTTGCAGTGGTGACCTGGACGGTCTCTGGTTTCTTGGAACCAGCTTCACCCCTGAAGAGGATGCCGCAGCCCTCTCCTCGGGGCTTTCTTCTTTGCGCCCTTTCTTTTCGGGCGGTGCGCTGGGATCCGACTCAGGCTGTTTCTTGCGCTTGGAGCGCTTTGCACCTAGATGCAGTGTCACCGGCAAGGGTAGGAGGTGCTGCCTCACCCTCGCCTGTTTGGCGCTGTCAGTCTTTCTTGCATTGGCTTGCCTGATGGGGACCCAGGCAAAGGTTGCATTGGTGACTGCGCCCGTTGGGGCATCTTGACTGTGGCTTGCCATTGCCGCACTGCCCCTTGTTGAACTTGATGCAAATCTGAAGGCCCTTGCGGTTGAGGGAGAAGACCTTGTTGTTGTCGTCCCACTTGCTCTTGTCTTCCCCCGTGTACTTCTTCTTTGCCTTCTTCTTCTTGAGCTTCGGGCTCGAGGACTTCTTCCTCTTTGGCGATGGCCGCTCTGGGGCCGACTCGATCGAGGAGTCCGAGCTCAGCCCACAGGCTATGGACTTGTTGCGGGCCAAGAGCAGTGTGCTTGGGGTCACCACTTCCCTTGTCCAGAAATCTTGCTCCCGGACCGCTTCCGCGAAGATGGCAGCCCAAGGGTTGGCGGGTGTATACCCATGCCGTGGGTCGTCGTCCAGCGCCCGCCGGATTCTCTCCATGTACTCGGACCGCATGCGGGTGTCTGCACGGTATATGATCCCCCAGCATGCTGGCCCGAAGCGATTGTGGAACTCCTTGACGTGTTCCATGTAGGCCTCGAGCCTCTCGGGGTCCGCAGCCTCCAAGAGCACCATCGCCACCTTGTATGTTTTGAAACACTTTTCCCAGGCGACGATGCTCTCTGGGCCAGGGGCTTCTTTCTTGCTCCATTCCCCCGATGCCGCATTCAACACGTAGCTCTTGAACACCGCTTTACGCAGCGTTCTGAGCCCGTGTGGACCCCACAGTGACATGTCCGCGTATGGCGTGGCGTTCGCCTTCAACAGTTGTGCCAAAGCCGACAATTGGTCGATGCTCGGCTCAACCTCCGGCGATGGGTGATCACCGAACCTGCTTTTGTACTTGGCGTACATTGCACTGACAGCGGTCTGTTCCAACTGGACCACCTCTGAGTCCAGAGTTGGGTCAATGACCACTGACAGTTTGATCTTCCTTGTTGGGGAACCTTGTGAACTGGACGGGGGCTGTGCCGGAGTTGTAGCAACCCCAGGGCGTTGTATACCCGGATCCCCCGGTGTGTCGGGCGTCATCTGCATCCGGAGCATCACCACCCGTCGAAAGATTTCCAGCCTCGAGCCCTCCACTGGTGTGGGCTCACGTTGACCTGGTGGGTCGCCTGGATTGGCTGGTGCTGTCGGTACCCTCAGGAGGACAAGTGCTGCGTCCCACACCGGGCGTGTGATGAATGCAATGTCCCTGAGTTTCGTCGGGGTGCCGAGATCTTTGAGGAGACCCTCTTTCAAAGGGCCCTCAAGACCGGCCCAGTCTGCCACGTCGTCAATGGTCTCCATGTTGTTGAGCTCCTCTTCGGTTGGGTCCATGTTGCAAGGCAGGACCCTCCCTCAAAGGAGTAAGTTCCGAACTCGTAGAGCTCCTTGGTGTTGCGGAACCAGCCAATGTGGCTCTCCTCCTCAGATTGGGTCGGCTCTGCACCGATTGGCGCAAGGAGCTTTCCCTGAGGTTGGAGAAGGCCAAGCTGATCGCTCGTCGACGGCGCACAAAGCGCAAAGCCCGGGATGTAAGCACTTCCCAAGGGCCCACAACGCGAGAGGTTGCGGCTCGGGTGTTTCCGATCCCAAACCGGACCCAAAAGGTACGGAGGAACCAGCCACACAGGACCCCCAGCCCGTAAGTGCTAACCAGCACCCACAGGAGGAGGTCCACACCCGGATCCTCGGTCGGTTGACCGAAGGGACCAGGTGCTGCGTCGCTGCCTTCCCCACCTAGCCCTGGGCCCATTGAAATGAAAACACCCCAGCCTTGAGCCAAAATGGCCACCAAGGCCGAGGTGAAGCTCCCACCCTCAACTCCCCTCTCACTCAATTGGTTGTTACAAACACAGCAAGCTGTTAAAACCATCATAAGGTAGAGATGCGGCATGCATTGCTTTGAGATTGCTACAGGATGCTACAGCTCTCAAGTCGATGTTAATTGAACAGTTGGATTTCATTGGTTCTAATTGTCAGCTTCCATGCCGCACTTTCAGCTGATGCTGCAAGTTGCAGGGCGGGTAGCATTGAAGGGTTTCGGCAGCCTTGAGGCTTTCGAAACAGCAAGGGAGGCAAAGACTGGAGGCAAAACTGGCAAAACAATGACAGAATGGCACAAAAAAAACATGAAAAACATATGAAAAACATGGCCGTCCTTTCTTGGTTTGGCATTGGAGAAAGACAACTCCCAAAGGGACAATCGCAACCACAATTGACCCAACAACATGGAGGTATCAGTGGTTCTGTACATTTGTGCACTTCTTCGGTATTCCTGTGGTTGCTTGGCATGAATTTACTGTGGCTGGGAGATGTCCTGCCACTTTCCCTATGTCATAAAGGCTGGAGAGTTGTCAAAGGCCGACATCTGCCAACCGAATCGGTTCAATCGCCTACTTTTATCTACTTTTCAGTACCTACTTCCATCAGTTCATTTTGTGCCCTTTACCAAGCGTGCGCAATGAACTCCTCCAGCCATCCAAAATCTGGATATAAAATGTTACAAAATATATAGATCAAGTGTAAGACGCTGCCTGGTGACCTGTTCTTTGCAAGCCTTCTTGTGTCTGATTGAACTGAATGTACCCTACTTGAGGCCCAGGGGGGGTGATCGAAAGCCAAAGGTCACATGAATGTGGAAATAGGTGAGCTGAACTTGGAAACATGCCGGGAAGTAGAAAGCATGCGCATGTCTCTGGAACCTTTTTTGCAGCAGTGAAGTGAAACTGCAGCAATGTGAAGTGAAACTGGAACAGCGGTGAAAAGAATTGGGGCGGAGCACGTGCGCTAGAAACGTGCCAGAGAGATAGAGAAAATAATATACAGACATAGGCATATATGAAATACATGTGTGTATATATATATATGAAGAAAGAAAACACAGAAAGAAAATCAGAACACGATATCGACACAAAGAGGTAGACATGCATATACAGGCACAGGAGCTGCACAATGGAGAGGTTCATATGTAAAGGCAGTTGCGTGCTGTGTCTGGTGACATCCGATGGAGGTATATAGAGCTGCAAACATACACGGCATAAGTGCAAGTGATCTAGGACTTTGCAGCCGGCACCGCCATTGAACGATAGGGAGGATTGTATCCGGAGCTGCTTTTGATTGAGCTCACTGCCAAAGTGTCAGACGATCGTCGGAAGGAGGCAAGACGGTTGCAAAGAAGAGGTGTAATGTTCAGCTTTCATTTGTAGAACATGTGAAACAAAGAACATGGTTACTGTAAAAAGTTGGGGCCCCATCCAGAAGTGTAATTTTTGATAGGGCTCAAATCCTCAACTGTGGATCTGAGTCACAAAGAATTCTATCGATCCCACCGCCAGATTGTTTGAAACTCTGGCGAGCTTGGAACGTATGAGCCAAAGAAGATGGGTACGCGATAAAGTTTGGGCCCCATCCAAAATTATAGTTTTTGATGGGGCTCAAATCTACACAGCGTTGACCTGAGTCAGAAAGAACTCTATCAAGCCTGATGCTCTGGTGAAGCATATTGCGCAAGAGCTCCATCCGAGCAACACGTAATCTGTGGCTTTGAGGCATAAGACAATTGAACCAAAGAAGATGGTTACCGTAAAAAGTTGGGGCCCCATCCAAGATTGTAATTTTTGATGGGGTTTAAAGCTTCAACTGTGGATCTGAGTCACAAAGAATTCTATCGGGTCCACGGCCAAATTGATCGAAGCTCCGGGGAGCTTGTAATGTCATGCTCTGATGAAGAATAGGGCGCAAGAGTTGTATCCGAACAACATGTAATCTTCGGCTTTGAGCCGCAAAACATCTGAACCAAAGAAGACTAGAGAGTTACAGAGGGACGGCCCTGGCAGGATTTGAGCCCGTGACCATCTGCTTCCGAGACTGCTTCAAAATGCCCGAACAGCTTGGGGGGTTCGAGTGAAAAATCAGTGTGTTGGACTCAGACCTGCCCCCCCCCCTCCTGAAGCAAGAGTAGCTCCAGCTAGCTACCGCTAGCTTTCGTGACTTGATCCCTTGTTAGAGTCAGTCACTGAGACCACACCGCAAGGTCAGAACGTTTCAGCCACCATTCAGGCCTATGTGTTGCACTTCGGACAGCAAGGCATTCTCCTCTTCGGCAACAGAGTGTTCCAAAGTGAAACCCATGGTGCTTCCAGGCTTGCATAGCTCTGCCAAATGGACACAAATACAACTGTTTGCACTCGATCGCTCCTTCTGATCCAAAACGCAAAAGGCCAGGCAGACAAACATGAGAATGAACAGGGACATCAGAATGGCATATGGCACAAACCTGCAACCAAGAATTCTTTTGAATCTGACATTGATTGCCTTTTGCAACGCAGAGCTCCTAAACTTAAAAGCGAAGGTCTTCCAAGAACTACACAGCTTGTCACAGCTTATCAAATCTTGTCCTGCCTCCAATTTGCATAGTAACCCAGCGGATCTGGCTTCTCCGTGCCTCTAAAACTAATCGGCCATTGGTACGTTCTGAAAGTATTTGGAATTCAGGAGAAGAGATTGAGCAGTTTCAGCCAAACAAGAGCCCCCGGACTCCGGACTTCGGATTGTTAGAGACAGCTAAAGATCTTCAAACATCTTCAGAATGGTCAGAAACAGACTAGAATGGTCAGAATGGTCAGAAGTTTAGGCCGACACGGAGGGAAGTGCGATCACGTTGTTGGCTTCTTGGAGGACCTTCAGCTTCTGCCCGTCGCGGGAAGCTGCGAAAATGTGCATTCAACTTTGAAATCCAGAAAACATCAGAAAACTGTCAAACACAGTGCCCAAATGCAGCTAGGTTGCAGTAGTGCTGAATAAATTCACCGGCCACAACGCTTTTGGCATAGTCACTCGTTACACTGGCTCCACCCTCCAGAGTCAGGGGGTACTGCACGCTGCTGTACCTGGGTGCAGAAGTTGTCGCTTGACGCAGTAGTACCTTCACCTTCTGTGAGAGATTTTCAAGTCAAAGTCTAGATATGTCTATGTCATATTATATATATAGATACATAATATTAATATTGATCATTTAGCAAATTCAAAAGCACAATTCAAGCTTGGGCACGCTGGATCTTCCACTTGACAACCATCTCTTCCGTACCTCTGGGCCCCAAAGAGATGCACAGCACTTGGAGCATCTGCTCACATCCATGCCCCCAGTATTAAGATTGCACCATTGCAATCCATTGCACCATTGCACCATTGCAATCCATTGCACCACTTTCACTTGTTCAGATTGCGCACTGCCAGTACTGGCATAGGATGTCTGAGTGGCAAAGTTCCCTGCATCACTGAAGCGAGCTTCCCAGCATCATGTGAAAAGGAGTTGAAAAGGGTGACTCAATGACTCAACAAGTTGAGCGCAAAGATGCGCAAAGATGCGCAAAGCCTGCATCTGGCGATATCGCCCCTCTGGTCTGAGTCGCTGAGTTTCCCAATCAGTCGAAGGTTGTGCACTTCAATGCCAGCCATTTGCTTCACCACCTCAATCCACGAAGCTTTGCACAATGGATAACTCAGCTGCAAAGCTCATGCACCTCTGTACAAGTCAAACTTCTGCGACTCTGTTTGGCAACCTGCTTTTCTTTTGGAGGACTCTTTTTAACTCCGGTCAACATGCAACATGCTCTGAGCAAACGACCCTGACACTGCCATGCTGGATACGCTGCCTTGGTGGCTGGATCATAAACTGGATCAGTCTGGGGTAAGAGATTGTCGGAGCAATGTGATGTATGATTTGGATTGATTCGGCTGTCGCTTTACTTGGCTCTCCACCCTCCAGAGAATTGCACTGTGGAGAAGCCATTCCGCTTGTTGCAATGATAGCCCTGGCAAATGAATTGAACAATCTGATATTTTGGTAAAGTAGCATTCCAGCCATGCCTGCCCTTGCCAGCAACCACCTTCAATTTGTCCAGGGTTGAACTGCCACACTGGACACCTGCTCAAGTTAGTGAATAAGAATGCTGAGAGATGCATAGAACGTGAAATTTACCAATCCATCCATGCCTTTGGGTAAGAGGTTGAGAAACAGATAGAGCCAAAACTCTATTTTAAAAACCTCTGATACAGAAACCTGCCACAGGCCACTGTCTTCCAAAAGTGGTCACTGGCAGCACCAGCACCAACACCAGCGTCACCAGCGCCAGCAGCAGCAGCAGCAGCAGCAGCAGCAGCAGCAACACAAGCAACAGCAGTAGAAAGACCAGCAGCACCAGCAGCCACCACCAGTCATCCAAAACTACTTCCCAATAGAAGTTTCTGCTGCCTCGCACAAGACCGCCTATCAATTCCCGGAAATCCCGGAATCAATCACCACCCCTACTGTTGATATCTGCGGCACCATGTATGTATATATATATATATAGTTGCAGACACAAGGTTAGAACCACGTTTTAGAAAAGTTGGCGAAAATCCAACCTCACGAGTTAGAATCAGAAAATCGATAGTTTGAATGCCTTCGCCACTCACGAGATAGAACCTCGCCACCCACGAGATAGAACCACGAGATATACACATATTATTTCAGATATTTATAGGTATAGGGCCTAGGGGCTTAAGTATACGTTTCTTCAAGGAGGAATGAATCTGTATATATAAATATATAGCGACGGACTCTTTCATGTATATATCCATATTATTTTAGATATGTATAGGTATAGGGCCTAGGGGTTCTAAGTATACGTTTCTGCAAGGAGGTATTTCAGATCTTTGATGTATATTATATGTGTGATTACTTGTGTATTATTGTTTGGTTCTAAGCATAGGTGTTCTAAGTAAAGGTTTGTGGGTTCTAAGCATAAAGGTTCTAAGTAAGGGATTTTTTTGCTCAGTTATATTTTGGTTCTAAGTTTAAGTCCGTCGCTATATTATAGATATACATGGAACTACCGTACCTGCTTTGACTTTTTCTTGACGTAGTTCAAGGCTCAATGTGCGAGAGACAACCAGAGGCTTCCTTCACTTGGCATGTGTTGTTCCACTTCCAAGCATTCCTAAGCCCTATTCAATCCAGATCAAGTTTGTACAGTAAACGGTTTGGCACCTTGGCTGATTTGTGCACGAGATGCGACACTTCTCAACCGTTGGTGCTTGTACTACCGCAAGGCCAACACACCTCAGGCGCATTTGGTGCTGTGAGCTTCCGCAGTTCAACCATTGGATGGTTCTTGCTTCTCAAGGCTTAGGCTGTCCTGGCCAACCATCTTGAATGTCCTTCAAGACCTGGCAGAATAAGCTTGGTCAGTTTGGTGACGTGGTAATGCTGGGAAGACAATGCTGGTCCGAGTGACTTGTGACTGCCAGCACATGGCAATCTTTCCATCTCGGACCTAAGGTCTCAAATATTTCAAGTGACAAAACGACCCCAAACGACCCCAAAGGATCCCGAAGGACACTAACCCTGGACCCAAAAGGCGCCAAAAGGACGTATCTTACCGCATCTGCTTGGCACCCGGCTGGCCATGCAGCAAGGAGCTCTGGTTGGCGGCCCATTGGCCACGCCTCATGGAAGCTTCACTGGGATTGCTTACGAACACAAAAGAAGCACACGATGACCAGGTGGCCTTGTGACTGTCCTGCAGAGAATATGTTCAAGACCAAATGGTGACCAACGCAAGACATGTTGAAGCTGTTTGGAGATGTTTCAAGCGTGTGTACAAAAGATTGTTGAAACATGTTCTTCAAATCAATCCTCAGCTGTCGTAGCTGGCCACGTCTGATCGGGCACATTGTGTGGATCCACCAGAGCATTGAAATCCTTGTCACTTGCATGCTGGCCTGATTGGCAAGATCTAGCAAGTGCTTTCAGTTCTGCATCTGGGTTGACATTGCGACACTACATGACACTCCAAATGTCAAAAGAAGCAGACTGGGGTCTCTCATTCAGCCTTCTCCCCAAGCATCTGCTGTCCACCTCAAAAACAATTCTTTGGAGTCTTCCTAGTTGAACTCCTTGAACCACGTGGTTTACACCATGGCATACAGTCCGTCGAAAGGTCTGGCTGTCCTGGAAATTAATTCTTGAAGTTTTGACTTCTTCTTGGACAGTTCACTGAGAGCTCCAACCCATGGAGCAGCGCTAACACCAGCGCTTGTCTCATGCGGCAAAGCCATGCATAGATTAGGTTGCGGAATTCTATCGTGGAAGACCATGACGAACCAAGAGTTGTTGCTCCCCTGCTTTCGATAAAAGGTGTTCGATACAGCGTGGATGCTCATGTATCCGTGTGGCATTTGTTATTGCTGGTTGTGCCGTTGTGTCCATACTTTCTGCAATTTCTTGAGCCTCCAGCGTAGAAAGTCAATGACCCATCCCATGCTCCGACAGACATGAATCAGCAGTCTGTATGCGCTCTTCCAACACCAGTCACCCGTCCACTCCTGGAATGCATCAGTTCCCATGGCACCAGTTGGCACTTGGCCAGAAAAGATCACCATAGGCACGCCGTCAGTCAAAGCATCCTCAACGGGCAGCACCAAGAAGCATAAATAGAAGTGGCAAATTGTAGCAATCTGCATCAAGGAGCAAAGCTCCGTTTTTGTGGAACCTTTGTTTGGAATGTTCCAAAAACAGTCAGGTCACTTAGACTTGAAATCTTTGCCTAGGATGGAACAAAATCAAATAAAGCCTTCCAGAAGGATTTAAGTTGAAAGGAGACCGAACTCTCAGACGCAGGTTTGATGGGCAGAATGCAAGATCTCTCTACAATAAATTCTTTGTAAAAGATGTTCAAGACCTCTTCGTTCAAGCTCTTCAGATCTTGCAACCTCTCCTTCGGAACAATACTAAGATCTCTTGATGATATTTTTTCGTGATAGGATCTCCTTGGAAAATCACCTTGCTCATTTTTGGTCTCTATACAGGAAAACTCTGTCCACTGCTCAGGGTATTTGAAGGCCTTTCGAAGGTTCATCTATATGCAAACTCTCTTTACAAGATCCTTTGAAGACCTCTGTCAACCAAAGGACCTTCTCCTCGATTTAAAAGCCCTTCATGGGATTCTGATTAGATCTCATTGCAAAATCCCAAGATCTGTTTATACAAAGATGCTGATGTCTTAGCAAAGACCAGAGGTTTCACAATCAGCTGCTGCGCCCGCCGAAGCCCAAACTACAAAGACACTCAACATATCTAAACTGCGAACCCTAAAAACGGGCAAAAAGGCAAGGGCACCGCAGCGGCAACCCTTTTTCTTGAGCCATGAATGCATCAGTGTATGTTATCCTTGCGCAGGGGCCATGCCTGATCAGGTCCAAAGGCTTATGACCTCACCTGCCTGTACTGGCACTTCTTGATTTATGCGTGTCATCTGAAACTCTAAAAATGCCACCACACTCCCCTATGCTACGTGAGCAGCATTTCGGTGGCAGCCCAAAAAGGCCAAAAAGGGCCCAGTCTTCGCTGGGTCCCAAGGCTAAAGCCCGACACTCACATGTCCTCTTCCTCGTTGTCAGGTGTTGCACCACGGTTGGAATCTCCATCGGAAACCAGGGTGTACTCATCCTCACTTGGAATAGTTCCCATAGGTCCTGCCCCCATAGTGGTGCGGCCAGCTGCCGTCATGCGTCCTTCTTCAACAGGACTGATGGGTCCAGCACCAATCCCCATAGCTGCTTTTCCACGATGTCCAGGTCCAGGACGGCCACGAGGAAGGTCACCGCTCGCCCCTGTCGGAGCTTGGTACCTGCCGGTCTTAGGCGTCGGCTGGCGGTACCCATCAGCCTTCGGCGCCGGCGTAGCACCAGCTCCAGCTCCAGCTCCAGGAGGTGGATAGGCACTTGACATTCCACCCTGCTTGGCCATCGGTGGCAGCGGGTCCTCATCACCCCAGACCACAATGTCCGGTCGAATCCGGGGAAGACCAGAGCTGTTGCCACCTGACTGGTTCCCTTCTCGCACCCGGAAGAAAGTGTACCCCTTCCACTGCTCCACACCAGGAATGGGTTGGCCACCAAGACTCCAAAAATCCTGGTGGATCATCCTGGTCCAAGGGCGTCCCCCAGGACAATGCCACACCACTGTGACCCGCTCAGCTTCCAGGTCCTCTGGCCGGACCGGCGTTGAGGTATGCACCGGATGGAACAGCCTTGACCTCAGTCCACCATGGACTCGGCAGTACCATCCGCCCACCAGGGACCTCCAGCGGTCTGAGTTCCCAGTTGGCATGCCCTGGAACTCCACGCTGTTCCAAGGCCCTTGGGGAACTTCTCCAGCCATGGCGTGCCCGCCCAACACACAGAGACGAGGAGTGACGGCCGGGGAGCCTATGAGGCTACAGTGCGTAGCATAGTCACCAATGCTAGTTCAGTTGGGCCTGGTTCATGTCCCCTAGGCCTCTTGTGATGTTCTTGTGCTGGTCTTGGTTCACTGTTTTCCTTCTTCATGTTAGCCATAGATGCCAGCCCTTCATGACAACACATCCAAGCCGTCAGAGCCGACAAACTAACAGCTCCAGCGGTTTTCACAAGTTGGCTGGCTCCGTTTTGGAGCACCAATCCTCCAAGTGCAACTACTGCCTCAGCCAGGCGACAAAGCCGTGATGTTTCATCCGGCATGGAAAACTTGATCAAACCTAAGGTCCTACGGAAAGACTCCCAGTGATTCAGCAGCACCACAGGCTTCGTCAGCAGGTCAGCAGCCAATTCTGCTCCAGGGACATGTTCCACATGCCACTCGCGAGAAGCAAGTCGCTCTCGCAGCACGAAACTCCTCAGCCTCAAGTGGCGGGTACGCCAGGGGCCATCAGGCGCCAGCAGTAGTTGGATCCCCGACAGGTTGTCACCTCGGATCTCAAACTGGCCATCATCAACCAGGGCGTTGTGCTCCAGGATGTTCAAGATGACTTGCAGCGACTCGCCCATCGTCAGCGCATCCACATAGCCGATGAGTTCGGCCTCTGTACTGCTCAGAGCAGCAAAGGGCTGCCTTTTGCTCTCCCACTGGACCAGAGCGCCACCCCACAAAGCCAGTATGCCTTGGCAACCACGAAGTCCTTGTGGAGCGTGTGAAGCATCCGACAGCAGAGTCAGCTTCATCAGCTCATCGGTCGGCTCCCCCTGATCTGTCAAGCAGCTCTTGTAGACCAAGACAAACTCCCAAGTCTCCTGCAGGTAGCCCAGCAAGTAGCGTCCCAGCTCCTGAACTTTCTTGGGGCACTTGGTCACCCAACCACTCAACGTCGAGACAGCGAAGGCAAGGTCGGGTCGAGTTCGACCACTCAACCAAAGGAGTTCTCCCAGCAACTGCTGGCACTTGCGGACATCCGCAGGGTCAATGTTTTCCTCCACATCCGGGACCATGTCGATCTTTGGAAGTGGAACTTGGCGACCAGGAACCGGACCATGTCGTTCGAGAAGCTCACGGGCAAAGTCAGGCTGACCCAAGAGCAACGAATCTCCCTGCCACCTGAGCTGCATCCCACAGAACTTCAGCCACTTGGTACTATTGACCCACTCAACCTCTGAGCACGTCCACTCATCTCGAATCCGGCCCAAGGAAGCCTCCACCACCGGGTGGGGTCCAACACAAAGGATGTCATCCACATAGACAATGAGAAAGCCAAGTGGATCCGCATGTGCATCATCGTTGAGGACCGGCTCCGGGTGCTTCTTCTTGCAGACCCCCATGATTGACCAAATGTTGGGTTCTGGCGACCTTGACAAGTGGCACCTATGAGTTGGAGTTTCCCATCGGAAGGACGACATGCGGTGATCTCTAAAGGATGCCCAATCTGCTGGGGAGGTGTCTAAACCATACATGGCACCATCACAGATCCAACGTTCCTCCGCAGGGATTAAGCCAGTTGCGGTCAATAATCTCGGAGGCTCCACAACCAAGAGCTGCCGTCGGGTCTGTGATCTGGGAGCCAATAGGAATGCCCCTCTCACATCCGTTGATGCCAAAGACCAAGAAGCCCCTGCCGCCTTCCTCAGGACGCACCGCAAAGCCGTAGAGTCAACCCCACCGGCATATAGGTCTGTCGCTGCAGCCGGTCCATCACCTCCGGGTTTTCCGACTCCACCCCCATTTGGGTCTTTTCCATCTCCAGGGCTCTGCACTGCCGGCGAGGCCACTCCACGGGGTCGATGACAACCATGCCCTCCACCATCAGGAAGTTGGGAAGGCTTCACATGCCCAGCTGGGTGCGCCATGTTCCCGCAAATGACGATTCTCGCCTTCCTTTTTCCTGAGGGCGACTTGATCGTCGGGACAATCTTCGCCGGGGCCACTTCCATCCTGTCATAACCAGGTTCATCCACCAACTGATCCACCCTCACACGGCGAATCGTGCCAGAGCTCACCAAGGCCTCCATTTCTGCCTGCAAAGGCTCCTTCCATAGGTTGATGTCCTTCTTGACCTCAGTCAACGACACCGTGTAGGTTTGCAGTACAGCTCGAGCCTGATCAGGTGGATCTGGACCAAGAGGTTCCTCCAAGACACCATCCACATCCTTGGAGAGGGCTGCTAGTTTGCACTCCACGGCCTCCTGTTTCAAGGTCGATCCACTCACCAGTGCCAGCTCCACCTCAAGGCTCTTCACCTGACCCTCCAAGTACTGCAACCACTGGCCATGGACAAAGCCAGTCTCAGCGCCCACCGCTTCTCGCGAAAGCTCCTGCTCCCATAGTTTCTTCCATCCCCAATGTTCACGATGGATGCTATCCACCAATCCTGCCAGATCCGGCACTTCCACCGACTCCCAAGCTCGTCCACCTTCAAGGCCAAGTTCAGCTTGATGTTCCACATCTTCTGATCCCAACCGGCCAATCGAGCCCGACCGTGAAGACACCTTCATTGACAAAGATGCTAAGCCCGACTGTTAGGACGCCTTCATTGACAAAGATGCTAAGCCCGACTGTGAGGACCTCTGCCTTGATGTAGGACCAGCGCAAAAGTTGCAATCCTCCCCATCAGGCTGCATAAGCCCACAGCTCTCACATGCACTGAGCGTAGCCGAAAATGTCGTTGAAGTTGTCGCCACAGAGGCGTTTGGAGAGTTTGGATCCACCACAGTCTTTGAAGTAGCCTTTGAAGTGGGGTTGGACTCCCCCCCTGCCCACATTGTACGAAGGGCAGGTTCTACATCCACACTTCCGTCTTGATCTCCATCATGAGGTTGGTCTCCATGAAGTTCGTCAGGGAACTCATCAGGAGAATAGCCCAAACTGAGCACATCCTCCCCCTGATCTGCGATTCCAGCCTCCCCCCAAACATCATGAGAGTCATCCAAGGCCAAGTCCTCACGGAGAAGTTGAGGTAGATCATCATGTTGAAGTGGTTGAGGAACCTTCCGATCTTCCAGGTAGGGAGGCTGTTTCTCCGTCACCCTTCTGGTGGAAGCATCATAGAGCTCCATCACCGCCTTCTCCCCTTCCTCTGCTGGGCGCACCACTGCACGTGCATGTTGAACTTTTCGTCCATCTCGAAGCACCCAGCCATTCGTCATGTTGGGACTTGGCC